TGAGCTGTGATGCCACAGCACTCTACCCAGGGGGACAGCTTGAGACTTTGTCTCAAAAAAAAAAAGCCCAGGAGTTTAAAGCTGCAGTGAGCTATGATCATACCACTGCATTCCAGCCAAGGCAATAGAGTGAGACCCTATCTCAACAACTATAAAAAAGATTGCATTCAAGTATTACTTATTTTGACTGCCAAGTTTCTTTACATCTCTATTCACTTTTGTGCCCAACGGGTGTGTCTCAGTCACCTCACTCTAGTCTTGGCAGTTAAGACAAAGCAGAAAAAGTCAAGAGGCAAAGGAGGTGAGCTGACATAGTTTATCTTACAACATAGACACAAGGACAGATCCAAATCAGGAATAGAATCAGGTTTCTTAAGGCAATCTTGTACTCTTAGACTGGACTGTCCGGGCAATTGCCCCCATTTTCTTTATTGGTTAGAATATCTAAAAAATTCTCTTCTAAGGCTTTTAATTAAAATGTTTTGAAAGAGGCAGGAAGCAGTGGCTCATGGCTATAATCCTAGCAATCTGGGAGGCTGAGGAGAGTAGATTGCTTGAGCTCATGAATTCAAGACCAGCCTGAGCAAGAATGAGACCCCATCTCTAAAAATAGCTGTGCATTGTGGTGGGAGCCTATAGTCCTAGCTACTTAGGAGGCGGAGACAAGAGAATCACTTGAGCCCAAAAGTTTAAAGTTGCTGTGTGAGCTCTGACGCCAAAGCACTTATAAGAAAATGACAAGTAAAACTATCTCAAAACAAAGTTTTATTTGAGGCTGGGTGTGGTGGCTCACATCTGTAATCCTAGCACTCTGGGAAGTCAAGGGTGGGTGGACTGCCTGAGCTCACAGGTTTGAGACTAGCCTGAGCAAGTACAAGACCCTATCTCTAAAAAATAGCCAAGCATGTGTCTGTAGTCCCAGGTTCTCTGGTGGCTGAGACAAGAGAATCACTTGAGCCCAAGAGTTTGAGGTTGCTGTGAACTACAATGCCATGGCACTCTCCTGAGGGCAACAAAGTGAGACTCTGTCTCAAAAAAAAAAAAAAAGTTTTCTTTGCCTAAGTGATGAAAAAAAAAAACAACCCAAAAACTACTCAATAAAAAAATAACAACCCTATTCAAAAAATGGGCAAAGCCCAGGCAAACTGGCTCTTAACTGAAATTCCAGCACTATGGGAGACTGAGGCAGGAGAATCACATGAGCTCAGGGGTTCAAGACCAGCCTGGGCAACATAGTGAAACTCTGCCTCTGTGAAAAATTAAAAAGTTAGCCAGGTGTGGTGGTACAACCTATAGTCCCAGCTACTTGTGAGACTAAGGCAGGAGAATCACTTGAGCCCAAGAGGCCAAGGCTGCAGTGAGCTATGATTGTGCCATTGCACTCTACCCTGGGTGACAGAGTGAGACCCTACCTGTAAAAAAAAAAAAAAAAAAAAAAAAAGGGAGGGAGGGAGGCAAAGAACTTAATAGACATTTCTTCAAAGATATACAAAATCATGCTCAACATCATTAATCATTAGGGCAGTGCAAATCAAAACCACAATGAGGGGCCAGTGCAATGGCTCATGCCTGTAATCCTAGCACTCTGAGAAGCCAAGGTGTGAGGATCACTTGAGCTCAGGAGTCCATAACTAGTCAGAGCAAAAGGGAGACCCCATCTCTACTAAAAATAGAAAAGTTAACTGGGCATAGTAGTGCTCTCCTATAGTCTCAGCTACTGAAGAAGCTGAGGCAAGAGATCATTTGAGTCTAGGAGTTTGAGGTTTCAGTGATCTATGATGATGCCACTGCACTCTACCAGCGCAAAAGAGCAAGATTCTGTCTCAAAAAAAACCCCACACCACAATGAATTAGCACCTCATACCCATTAAGATGGCTACTATATATATATATTTTTTTTAAAAAGCCAAAAATGAGAAAATACCAAGTATTAGTGAAGATGTTGAGAAATTAGAACCCTTGTACACTGTTGGCAGGACGTAGAATGAGATAGCCACTACGGAAAATAGTGTGGTAGTTCCTCAAAAAGTTAAAAATAGAATTACCATATTATCTAGCAGTATGTGTACTATGTCTGGGTATATATCCAAAAGAGCTGACAGCCTAGGCAATACAGCAAAAGACTCTATTTCTACAAAATAATTTTTAAAAATCAGCCAGGCATGGTGAAGTGCTGGTGACACTGGAGGCTGAAAAAGGATGATGATCACTTGGCCCAGGAATTCAAGCCTGTAGTATACTATGATTGCACCTGTGAAAAGCCACAGAACTCTATCTAACCTGGGCAAAAGAATGCGACCCTGTCTCAGAATTGAAAGCAGGGTCTCAACTTGATATTTGTACACTCATGTTCATAGCAGCATTATTCACAATAACAAAAGGGGGAGGCAACATAAATGCTCATCAACAGGTGACTGGATAAACAAAACATGGAATGTACCACATGCCGTCGAGTACTATTCAGCCTTATTCTGACACATGCTGTAGCATGAATGAAGTTTAAAGACATTATACTAAGGAAATGAAGACAGTCACAAAAAGACAAACACTGTATAATTTTGCTTATCTGAAGTACCAAGAATAGTCAAACTCATAGAAATAGAAAGCAAAATAGTGGCTGCCAGGGACTGGGGAAAAAGGAAAATGTGGAGTTATTCAATGGGTATAGAGTTTCAGTTTTACAAAATAAAAAAGTTCTGGACACTGGATATACAACAATATAAATATACTTATTAACACTACTGAACTATATTCTTAAAAATGGTTGAGATGGCAAATTTTATGCTATATATGTTTCACTGTAATTAAAAATTTTTAAAACAGGGATGGTGCCTGTGGCTTAAGGGTAGAGCGCTGGCCCCATATACCGGAGGCGGTGGGTTCAAGCCCAACCCTGGCCAAAAACAAAAACAATTTTTTTTCTAGAACACAAAAAACCTTTCCGGATTAGAGGTTTTTAGGATAGTGTAACAAAAGACCATTTTTTCTCCCTCTTATTTGTCAATATTAGGGAAAAAATGAATGCAAAAAAATAAAATTTTAAAAATCTTTTTAAAAGTTTAGTTTTTTCTGTTACCTCTCTGTGTCCTCTCCTAGATCCTGAGCTTCTTTGGTCCAAAGTATACTACTCTCTTCTTTATTACCGTTAGTTTCTTGTTCTTCTAAGTGACTTTTATCTAAAAACAGTTGAAAGAGTTAACATTATTAGAAGAAAAAAAAAATTGAGAAACCCTGCCTTAAAATGGAGTGCAAAAATTAAGGCTAATTAGTGCTCCCTGAAGCATACAATGCACTAGCCCCCTCTTCCCCTGAGAGCAGGGGGCCAGGTGGTAGGCTATGGGGCCTCTGTGTTCACAGCAGCTGCTCTGGGGTCTTGGGAGCTCTTTGGTGCCAGGTGAAGCTACAGGATACACTGCCTGTGCCAAGGCTGAAAAGAGACAGGAAGCAAAAAAAAGAAACAGCACATAAAAGGGGAAGCAAGCAACCCCAAATACAAACTGCACCAACTTACTTTGGAGGACCATGCTGTTCTCATTTATTATATGTTACTAGAAGTCCCAGGGAAGGAATTAGGGTAGAGAAGGAATTAGGGAGAGGAAGGGATGTACCCTTTAATGTATGCCAAGAATTTTAGATATGCTGTCTCATTTCATCCTCCCAGCAGTCCTATAAAGGAGAGAAGGCTAACATTTACTAAGAATCTTACAATGTACCAGCCACTGTACATGGAGGCATTATATGCATCATGGGATAGGAGTTATTATCCTCATCTTATAGATGAGGACAACTGAGGCCAGGAGTTTGAGACCAGCCTGAGCAACATAGTGAGACCCCATCTCTCTAAAAAACAACACAATTAGACAGGTATAGTGGCATGTGTCTGTAGTCCCAGCTACTTGAGTGGCTGAGGCTAGAGGATCACTTAAGCCCAGGAGTTCCAGGTTATAGTGAGATATTACTCCGCCCTCAACCTGTCTCTAACAAAAACAAAAGTAACTGGTGGAGTCAGAATGGAAGCAGAGTTGTGCCTGACCTAAAGGTCACATTTGCCCATATGTACTACTGCACTGCCAAGGACAATGTTATGGTAAGAACCTGATGGAAAAGATCTGGGTTTTTAGCTTACCATTTGCACTGAGGCCTGGATCACCTGCTGTATTCTCATGCAACACTTTGGATGAGGCCTGCTGCTGCTTCAAGTGCTCTGTCACAATACAAAAGCAGAAGAAGATAACTTATATCCTCCTATGCATGTCTCACCAATCTTTTTTTTTTTTTGAGACAAGAGTCTCACTATGTCTCCCTCAGTAGAGTGCTGTGGCATCACAGGTCACAGCAACCTCAAACTCTTGGACTTAAGCAATTCTCTTGCCTCAGCCTCCCAAGTAGCTGGGACTATAGGCACCCACCACAATGCCCGGCTATTTTTTTGTTGTTGTTGTCATTGTTTAGAAGACCCGGGCTGGGTTCAACCCACCAGCCCTGGTGTATGTGGCTGGTACCCTAGCCACTGAGCTACAGGCACCGAGCCCATGTCCTATTATTCTTTAGAGGAGCAGTTCTCAAACGGTGGTCCTCAGACCAGCTTTAGCATAACCTGGGATCTTGTTAGGAATGCCAATTCTCAGGTCTCATTCTATACTTACTGAATCAGAAACTCTGTATTTTTTTTAATTAATCATAGCTTTGTATATTAATGCATTTATGGGGTGCAACATGCTGGTTTTATATACAATTTTAAATACTTATATCAAACTGGTTAACATAGCCTTCACTGCATTTTTTAAATTATTGTGTTAAGACATTAATATTCTACACTTAGTAGATTTGACATGTACCCTTGTAAAATGCACCATAGGTGTGGTTCAACCCATTACCCTCCCTCCTCCCCTCCCCTCTCCTCCCTCCCCTCCCCTCCCCCTTCTCTTTCCACTTCATCTTGGGCTGTAGTTGGGTTATATCTGTCATATGGAACTGTGGGTGCTTATATATTGGTTTCATAGTAGAACTGAATACATTGGATACTTTTTCTTCCATTCTTGAGATTCTTTGCTAAGAATAATATGTTCCAGCACCAGAAACTCTGTATTTTACTGTAACAAGCCCTTTAGGAGACTCTGCTGCCTGATAAAGTTGTGGGAACCACTACTTTAGGGTATTCCAGGTTTGAAAGCAATTCTTCAATTATAATAAAACCTCGTACAACACTCAATATAGAAATAAAAATGACAATAATGATGAGGATGATACACAATACTTGCAGGGCCCCATGTGGTAGGTCCTGTTTCTAAGTATTTATATGTATTAATTCAGGATTAATGTTCACAATGAATCTTCACAACAAATTGATTGTGTTATTGTTACTTTGGTTTAACAGAAGAGGAAAATAAAATTAAGAAACTTAACCTAAAATCACACAGATAAGCGGTAGAATTGGGATCTGAATCTGGGCTCTAAACTTTATGCTTTAATCTCTACTTTATACTTTCTCAAGAACTCTGTAACAACATCAGAACAATCCAAATGTTTTCCCATCTCTACTGGCCTATTCATTTGTTTCTCTCTCATGCGTGCCCACATACCCAGGCTGCAGTAGCTACAAACTTCTTGACTTAAGCAATCCTCCTGCCTCAGCCTGTCTTGTAGCTGGGACTACAAGAGTGCATCAGATGCCTGGCTAATTTTTTTTTTAAGAGAGGGGTCTTGCTATGTTGGCCATGCTAGCCTCAAATTCCTGGCCTCTAGTAATCCTCCCATCTTGACCTCCCAAAGTGCTAGATTACAGCCATGAGCCACCACTCCCAGATTTTCACATTTTTTTTAGCTGTTCTATGGAAAGACAGAAGGCAAAAAATTTCTATCATTTCCAATTCCTATAGAAATACTCACTGGATCAAAATGAGCATTTTCTTTCTTTTTTTTTGAGACAGAGTCTCACTATGTCGCCCTCTGTGGCATCACAGCTCACAGCAACCTCAACTCTCAGGCTTAAGCAATTCTCTTGCCTTAGCCTCCCAAGTAGCTGGGACTACAGGCACCCACCACAATGCCCGGCTATTTTTTTGTTGTAGCTGTCACTGTTGTTTAGCAGGCCTGGGCTGACTCGAACCCACCAGCCCCAGTGTATGTGGCCAGCACCCTAACCACTGAGCTATAGATGAGCACTTTCTAAACTCAATATGCTGGTTGATATTTTTAGGTGTTCAGTCTCCTCAATGTGCTCTGCAGAGCAGAGCTGGGAGGCAGCATAAAGAAGACACCCTGAGCTCACTGGCATAGTGCTGTTCTGGGCAGGCACAGGTCTGCTCCCTTCTCAGCAGCTCAAATTTAATATAATTTGAAATATAAAATTCCAGTTTTATCCTTGATAAAAGTAGTTCCTTGCTGATCTTAAATGATCACCTATATCCTAGGGTTCTAAAGGACCATCCCCTGTAAGTCCTTGTCAGGAACCTAGAGCTTTGGATGTAGATCCTTAAAAGAACAGGTGATAATTCCAGGTCACTCCCCAAAGGTCTCTTTAGGAGAAGCAATAGAGGGATGATATACAATAATCAGGTGGGCAGGCCCATTATCAAGGGAAATTGCTCAAATGCCCTCTACCCTGTGTCTTTCTGAAAAATTATTGACCTATCTCAAAGTTCAGACATCACCTAGAAACCTGGCCCAGATAATTTCTGTAAGTGAAAAAAGGAACAGCTTCTGCAGACTGCAGACTAACAGTGCCATGCTGAAATGGAGGAAATGAAGGGTTTACGGGGTGACTGTAAAGGGGGGACAGCAGGATCCAGAGGAAAAGTATTTGCTATGGTCAAACTACAAAGGAGCATAAAAATACTGCCTTCAACCATGACCAAGAAACAAGATACCGAGAAACTACCTGAGCTGGATGTGGGGGGTAACCCCTACGCACAACAGTTCTATTATTTTAAGAAGAGCAATTGGAGAGGAGGAATTTGCAAGGACTGCCTAGGGAGTCTCAGAGGCGGAAAGCAGGAGTGTGGGATCCTGACTACTCTAGGATCCTGACTCAACAACTCTATGACCTGAACAACTGTGTGGTGCTGGGGGAGGGGTGCAGTGAGGCAACAAAGGGCCTATGAATATGGAAAAAGAAACAAACCAAGGAAGGTTCTGGCAACCTGACTAGCTCTACTTAAGCTTATCATTCCACCAGACAGGGGCTAAGGGTTATAATAGGAACTAGAGGGTAGCTTTCTGTTGAGTAGACCAGTGATTCCTTATTTACTTCCTTCTTTATGAGAAATATATCCTCAGAGACCCTGGAAACCAGGTGGTGCCCCTCAGAAAATTCTCTATGGGCCCCCAAACAAGAACTGGACTATCAGAAGTCAAATGAGATGCATCTTCTCAGGGCAAGGGGCTAGGTGACCAGACTGCCAAGAAGGGAGTAATCAGATCTTCCCAGTGAAAGCAGCCCAACTGCCCCCAAATGTCCCTATAACCATGTACTGTTTACTTTCAGCATCAGCCCAGCTGGGCAGGGCCAGCAAATCAGCTGCAAATGAAAATATTAGTACTACTCAGTTTCTGCCCCCAAATTTTGGCCTCATTAGGTTTTGTGCCCCTAACTTCCCTGCTCTTAGGAAAGGGAAATACTCATAATGCCAGTATTTTAATACCTCTTGCTAATGGCAAAATTGCAAATATAGGTGTCTTGGCCTGAACAGCCAGATCGCAGGACTCCAAAGAATTAACAGATCTAGTTTCAAAAGGAGATAAGAATTCCTCTAATAGAAAAAGTTCATCATAATAAACCACTTGAATGTTGTTATTTCTCCTTAGTATCATCACTATAAATCCTTTAAGTAAAAAAAAAAAAAAAAAGACAACAGACACGGGCCAATTATCCCAGCCAGACTACTGTAGCCCATTTCACTGAAAAACTGCCCCTTCCTAAATTTTGTACATTTGACCAGGCCTTTATAGGGCCTTTTATACTAGTGCTCATACTTTGGACAAGTCAGTGATTTAACTGAATAAGACAAGGAGCAGATTCTGTATTGAATATCCCTTACCAATTTCATCAAGTAGCTCCTGACAAGGTGGTGGTAGCTCATCAACGTGATGCTGTGAGATGGCTTCTACTAGTTCTTAAAAAAGAAAGAGGAAAATGACTTAATACCTTCCTGCACCTGAATTGGATTACCTTCCAGGTTTCCACATAGACTTGACTGAGGCTTTCCCAAAGACGAAAACAAACTTAGGGGTTTGTTTGGAAAACCTACACAACAGTCCTAGTAGAGACCTCCTAGTGTGCAAACAGCCTTTACCCTCTTTATCCCAAACCCTTTCCTACCTCAGCCCTTACCCAGTACTGCTCAATATGTGCTCCTCCTTTCCTAAGGATATTTGGAGTAGGTACAAACTCTTACCAACGGGCTGTGGCTCAAACTGGACCAGAGCTCCTGGAAGAATATAGAGGTTCCAGGTTGTCCAAAATAAATAAAACACAAAGTAGGAGGCCTTTCTCTATAGATTATCAGGCCAGAGGATGTAGAAGCAACCACACTTTGGGTATTGCCCCCAAGTTCTCAGTTATAACATTAACCAAAATGCTTCAATATCATTTACAAAAATCTCTATCTGCCTGAGGGCAATTCCAAGAGCTCTACCAAAGCCCTAAGACATTAAAATTAAAGTAACAGGCATTATGCCTCTAGAGCTGGTAACATTCTTGGACCCTTTGATTTGGAAACTGTCACCTATTTTCAGAGGTACAGATAAAGATTTATGTATAAAGAACAAAAATTAGAAAAACAACACAAATCTTCACCATAAGGGAGTGGTTAAGCAACACATATATAGACTATTATGTAGCTATGACATATATTTATGGATAATTTTTCATAAGAAAAATTCTCAAAATTTATCAAAGGAAAAAAAGCAGTCCAGAACTAATATACTATATAAATCTCAACTATGCTAAGAATATTTTTATATAGTTATAAAAATATTAAAAGGATATGTACCAAAATAGTATATGAGATTTAAAAAATTGTGGTTTTATTTTTTAAAACTTTTATTCTTCAAGTTTCTACAATGAGAGTGTTTCACTTTTACAGTTGAGAGAAAACAGCATTTTTCTTTGAATTTAATGTACCATCAAAGATTAACAGGTATCAATTTAAGCCCCCCTTAAACTGGCTATTATAAATTTCAATTTTGATATTAAATACAGGGTACCTTTAGGCAGGCTCCTTCTCTGGATGGCATGGGGTGTTATGTCAGATGCATTAGCAATGCTAGAAGAACCAGCCCCAGTAAATGCAGACAATCTTTTCTGTAAGTAAGAAATAAACATGATAACTGATACCTGTGACGAGCTAAAAAAGCATATGCAACTCAGTCATTTCCATGTGACTTGTTGGTTAAGTCAAACTCATTCATGTCATTTCCTTTGGGAAGCCTTCTTATCCCTCTCTGCCTCCTCAGCACTCAGTACTTACCTCTGTGTTACATCAGGACTCTCTTTCTCTTTGGTACCAACCTCCTTTGGGGCAGGGGTTATGTCCTTTTTCTTTTCTTTTTGTGGAGATAGAGTCTAGGTCTGTTCCTTGGGCTAGAATGCACTGATGACATCATAGCTCACTGCAATCTCAAACTCCTGGGCTCAAGTGATCCTTCTGCCTCAGCCTCTCTAGTAGCTGGGATAAGAGCCATGTGGCACCACACCTGGCTAAGCTTTCTTGAGACAGAGTCTCACTCTGTCACCTGGGCTAGAGTGCCATGGCCTTAGCCTAACTCATAGCAATCTCAAACTTCTGGGCTCAAGCAATCATCCTGCTTCAGCCTCCCGAGCAGTTGGCACTACAGGCACCTGCCACAACTCCCAGGTAATTTGTTTATTTTTACTAAGAGATGGGGTCTCTCTCTTGCTCAGGCTGGTCTCAAACTCCTGAGCTCAAGGGATCCTCCTGCCTTGGCCTTCCAGTGTGCTAGGATTACAGGTGTGAGCCACCATACCTGGCCCTGACTAAACTTTCTTAATCACCCTTAGATGCCTGGAAGAGAACCTGACATGGTGCCTGGTACTTAAAAACCTGCCTAATTAAGTTTGTTGGATGAAAGTATAAAATTCTTTGTCATTTCCCTACTTCTGAGTGAGACCTTTTATTAGCCAAATTCCCAAAGAAGTTGATAATCAATTTTCCATTGAGGGTCAAAAAGAGCCATCAATCTGTCCATAGAATGGTCAGCCCACAGTTTTTTAAAGAGAGTACAAAGTAAGGAACTTGTAGTTTTCTTAAAGACACTACTTATATGAAATATGAGGGAAGGAGAGAAAAAGAAGAAGAAACAGGAGAAGAGGTAAGGAGGAGGAGATGGCAGGATACAATGAAGTATTTTTCTTGTAGGCTATTTATTAGTTTAGGAGTTCAGAGAAGGTGGAGATCAGTCAAAACTCATCAGAGAAATAACGGAGGAGAGGAGCCCCAGGGAAGCCTGAAGAGGATCCAGAAGTACTTCTTTCTTTCTTTCTTTCTTTTTTTTTATTAAATGATGGCTGTATACATTAATGCAAACATGGGGTACAGTGTAGTGTTTTCATATACAATTTGAAATACTTTCATCAAGCTGGTTCACATAGATTTCATGTCATTTGCTTAGTCATTGTGTCAAAACATTTATATTCTAGTTCTGGAAAAGTTCACTTGTACCCTTGTTAGACAGATATATAGGTGATCTTTCCGGACTTCTTGCTTTCTTAGTGGATCTGAAATCCTGGCACTTTGGATCACTGAAGCCCTTTGGGCTGACTCCATGGGTGTAAAGCAGAATTGATATACTTACAAGATCAGTTAGTCTTGAAGGGAGAGTTTCAGAGGAAGTCAGCAGAGAATCTAAGTTCTTTGCTTTCTCTTGGACAGCTACAGATTTATCAGACAAAGTCTGAATAGATTCTTGACTATTCTTCCAAGAGGTAGACTGTGTTTTAACCTGAAATGTTATACTTTCAAGGCAGTCTTTATACTGACTGGCAGCTGAAGAAATTGACCCTGTTGTGGAAAAGAAGAAAATTAGTATCTGAATTCTATAGTATTTAACACACACACACATACAAAAATAAAATAAAATAAAAAACAAACTCTATACTTATTCCAGGGATTTTCTGAGTTGTGAATAATCACTGATCTGAGACACAGCTCCTTGAGTTTAAAAAAGTTGGTCATCAAAATAAAGGGGGTTTAAAAAAAATTTTTTTTTAAACAGAGTCTCACTCTGTCACCCTGGGATTGAGTGCCATGGCATCATCATGATCACAGCAACCTCACACTCAAGTCTCAAGCAATCCACCTGCCTCAGCCTCCCTTACAGGCATGAGCCACAGCGCCCAGCCAGGATATTTTAAACTACAAATATACAGAAATGAGGACACTAAAGAAAGAATATTTGATGCTGGTTATATATGGCTGCAGGACTCAAGAACTATATATGTTTAAGCACAAGGTACTATTTTATGTTGCAAACTCTAGAGAATCCAATGACTTTGCACTAAATTCTGTAATGCTTAGAGTACATAGTAGACGTTTGCATTTATTCGTCTTTGCCACAACAAGGTTAACCAAAATCTCCTAACAACTGCCTGACCACCACCACCACCACCACCACCACCACCACCTGGCCCCCCAAGGGATCATCCTCTTCAGTTTTGGCCATAAAGAAACATCTTTGTACTGTCAGAAAACAGACACTAGGTCTGATCCTATGTCCTGACTTCTGGAGCCAATGGGCAGAGGCTGTAAGTTCCTCCCCAGGAACACTTCCTAAGAGTGATTACCTGGGCTGAGCGGAGTGCTGACACTAGTAGGTGCATGGTTTGTTTTGGGTGTTTTGCAGGAGACTTCCTTAAAAGAGCTATCTCGTTCATAGGAAATACTAGACAGGTCTTGAATATCTATCAGTGATCTAAAGAATTAAGATAAGAGCACACAGTAACTATGAGAAGATGGTTAAAAAAATCATTCAATATACTGTATTCCTGGGAGGCCCTTTTTAAGTATTTTACAAAATCTTTATTTGGCAACAGAAGAATTAGAGAATGTCTTATAATATATGTCTTAAAGAGGATATTAGAAAATATCTTTTTTTTTTTTTTTTTGAGACAGGAGCCTCAAGCTATCCCCCTGGGTAGAGTGCCATGGCATATCAGCTCACAGCAACCTCCAACTCCTAGGCTCAAGTGAGTCTCCTGCCTCAGCCTCCCAAGTAGCTGGGACCACAGGCACCCACCACAATGCCCGGCTATTTTTTGGTTGCAGCCATCATTGTTGTTTGGCGGGCCCGGGCTGGATTCGAACCCGCCACCTTGGGTGTATGTGGCTGGTGCGTTAGCCACTTGAGCCACAGGCGCCGAGCCAGAAAATATCTTAAGAAGAGATTATAACTTTAAACATATCTCAGCAGCTAAAAATGATTTTGTTTTCTTTTTGAGACAGAGTCTCACTTTGTCACCCTTGGTAGAGTGCCGTAGCGTCACAGCTCACAGCAACCTCCAGCTCTTGGGCTTAGCCAATTCTCCTGCCTCAGCCTTCCAAGTAGCCTTCCAAAAAACTGTGGGCTGACCATTCTATGGACAGATTGATGGCTCTTTTTGACCCTCAATGGAAAATTGATTATCAACTTCTTTGGGAATTTGGCTAATAAAAGGTCTCACTCAGAAGTAGGGAAATGACAAAGAATTTTATGCTTTCATCCAACAAACTTAATTAGGTAGGTTTTTAAGTACCAGGCCCTGTACACCCTCGGTATATGAGGCTGGCGCCCTACTCACTGAGCCACAGGCGCCACTCAAAAAAATAAATATTTTTATAAATGAAAGGCTATTTCTGTAGAAAAGAGATTAAATCTACCTCAAGTGTAAACTTATATTATCAGCGTCACTGTATTTCCTTGATTGTAAGATGCTATTAAGGATAAAATCACATCATCAATTTTCTAACAGCTTTTTGGTGAAAGAAACATACATTTATTCTTTACATAAAAAAAGGAAAGAATATAAGAATATAGATTCTTACAAACAAGGAAATATTATTCCCTTAAAACCAAGACTTTACTCAAGCATCCTTAGGCAACTCTCTTTGGTGGCCATACATGTCTTTCTCTTTCAGTTCCTTTGGTGACTCCTTTAATATCTCTTCTTGTTCGCCTTCAGTACTGTGAGAGAGAAAGTAAGAAAATCGTATGAATCCCTTCTGTCAACAAAACGCATTACCTTAGTACAGGGGTCAGTTTATCAGCCCAGTGTGAGAAGCAGAAGAAAGGGCACTAAGCTCTGAGGTAGAGAGTGTGGGATCAGATTCTGGCTCTGCTACTAACTAGCTCCAAGTTCTCTGGTGTGTCTGGGCCTCAATTTTCTCTATAGAGATTGAATACATACTCTCTAGGGTCAGTCCAGCTCTGAAATCAGTCAGTGACTCTATATTACAGTAAGTAAGTTCTTGAGAAAATCAATGGAGCCAGGAAATTTACTGGAAGGTAGATGTTGGAGGTGGAGGTGAGGCCTAGGCAGCTACCTGGTATAGAGTACCAGAAGAGGCCAAGTGGCTTGGCGCCCATAGCTCAGTGGGTAGGGCACCAGCCACAGATGCCGAGGCTGGCGGATTCGAACCCATCCTGGGGCCTGCTAAACAACAATGACAACTGCAACAAAATAAATAGCCAGGGCTCAGTGCTTATAGTTCAGCAGCTAGGGCGCCAGCCACATACACTGGAGCTGGAGGGTTCAAATTCAGCCCAGGCCTGCCAAACAATGACAACTACAACAACAAAAATAGCCAGGTATTGTGGCAGGCGCCTGTAGTCCCAGCTACTTGGGAGGCTGAGGCAAGAGAACTGCTTAAGCCCAAGAGTTTGAGGTTGCTGTGAGCTTTGACACCACGGCATACTACCGAGGGCAACATAGTGAAAAGAAAAGAAAAAAAAAAAAGAAGAAGAAGAAGAGGCCAAGAAAGACCTGCACCAAGAAAATGGCCACAGTGAGGGGACGGAGCCAAGATGGCGGACTGCAGCCAGCTTTTTGCAGAAGCTCCCGTCCAGAAGGAGGCTTGAGGGACAGAAGTTTAGCAAGTTGGCTGATGGTTTGGAGCAGAGCCAAGAGAGAAGATTGAAGAGCACACTTCAACCTTCCTGAGGCGAGCTGTGACCCCAAAAATACAACCAAAAGGTCCAGGCCAGGTTCGAACCCATCAGCCCCAGATGCATGTGGCTGGAGCCCTACCCACTGAGCCACGGGCGCTCAGCCATATAATAGCAATATTCAATGTTCATTCATTGACAAATTAATTCCTCCAGCTACTCCCTTAGCCAGTTTAGCAGAAAAGTTCTACTCAACTGGATGAGCAGAATCTACCCCCACTTACCAATTCTTTAAATAAAGGTGAATGGATTGAACTCCCCGCTCAAGAGACATAGGCTGGCTGAATGGATAAAGAAATAACAAACCAAGTATAGACTGTCTCTAAGAAACTGAAGCCACAAGGACGCATTCAGACTCAAGGTGAAGGGATGGGAAACAATATTCCATGTAAATATCAACCAAAAGAAAGCTGGTATGGCCATATTGATATGAGGGGAAGGATAGAAATGTATAAAGCCTTCATGGAAATTAATCAACATTGCTGCTGAAGTCCTTTTTTCATACCCCATTCATGTAGCAAATCAAGATTAGCTCAATAATTTATACACGGCTAGAAGATAAATTAATGAGCTCTGTATACTAATATGCTTTTATGTATTGGAAAATGAATCCACATCTTTCATGTTACAAATGTGCTTCTCCTGGAACTTCATAAAAATTAAAACTACAGTAGTCTCTAAATGTAAATATTTGTATCATTTTATCCAAGGGAATATCAAACACAATTATAAATTATTACATATTCTTGCCTGCCTACCAATATTGTACTTGGCTCCAGATACAAGTCTAAAGCATAGCTTACCTGATATGTTAAATGTAACTTTTAAGATTCAAAATTTGATTTTAAATTATAATAAAATGTAATCATAATTACAAAATTAAAAAAAAAAGAAAATGGCCACAGGAGGATACTGAAGGCAAACTTGACCCATTTCTACTTCAACCAACCTTTAATATTCAATTTCAGTATTCATTGAACTCTATAAGCCAGATCTCATGCTAAATCCTTCCACATGCTTTTACATTTTTAATCTTTGCAAAAACCCAGTGAGACCAATGGTATAAGGAAAGAGCATGGATTTGGAGCTGAGTTGTGACTTTATTAATTCCGTTCAGCAAAATGTTTGTTTCTCTTTCCAAACACATAGTAGAACAGCATCTTTGGTCCTCTTAATTTACACAAATGACCACAAGACTTGTTTGAACCAATGAAATATTAGTGAAAGTAATGAGTCACTTCTAGGCAAAAAAATTAACAGTGTTCCACTGTTGCACTTTTCCTGCCTCAGCAATCAAGGAAGCACAAAGATGGACTCTCGGCCTGGGTCTCTGATAGAGGATAACACAGCACAGAATATTCCTGGCCAGCCCATGAGCCACGAACATAGAACATGAACAAAAATAAACTTTTGTTGTTTTAAACCACTAAAATGTGGGGATTATTTGTTATATAGCATAGTCTAGTATATCCTGACTAGCTGTGTGACCTTAGAAAAAATACTTAAACTCTCTGAACTTTGCTTTCCTTACTGGCAAAACAGAGATAACAGTATGAATCTTAGAAGGTTGTAAGTGGATTAAACAAGGCAATAAAACAGCATGAGCTAGATGCTTAGGAAATACTAGCTATTATTATGATAATTAAGAAAACTGAGGCCCAGAGGGACAAGAAGGAGAATGTTAGTGTGCCAGGCACTATACATCTCCTATAGTTTTTTCTAAACTAAACTTTTGAGATAAATGCAGCTTCACATGCAGTTATAGGAAACACACTATACACACTTTCCCCCTAACAGTAACATCTTGCAAATCTATGGAAAAATTATCACAACCAGAATATCGACACTGATACAGTCAAGATACAGAACATACAGAACATTTCTACCACCATAAGAATCCCTCATGTGTCTTATTTACAGCCATGACTACTTCCCTCCCTCTCCTACCCCTTCCTTAGCCTCTGGAAACCACTCATCTGTCTTTATTTTTATAATTTTGTCATTTCAAGAATGATATATAAATGGAATCATACAGTAAGTAACTTTTGGGGATTGCTTTTTCTACTCAACATAATTCTCTGGAGATTTAGCCAGCTTGTTGCATGTATCAATAGTTCATTCCTTTCTACTGCTGAGTGGTACCCAATAACACAGGTATTAAGGTAACACAGCCTATTTAATAATTCACTTGGTGAAGGATGTCTGGGTTTTCAGTTTGGGGCCATTATGAATAAATTTTCTATAAACATGTATGTGTTCTGTATGAACATAAAGTCTTCATTTCTCAGGGATCAGTGCCCAAGAGTTATATTATTACTTTCAATTCCTACGTCAATATTCCCACTAAGGATTTTTATCCCTATTACAGATGGAAAAACAGAATAGAGGGGTTGAGAACCTTGACCAAAGTTGTATGAATAGAAAGGCAGAGCTGGGATCTGAGTGCAGATAAGGACTCCTTTTTATTACCACTCAAATTCTGCCAAATAAGTCCTAACAAAGCCAAGTTGCCCAAAGCTAATTTTCATAAGACAGTGCCTATACATCTGAAGAAAAGCAATATATATGCAGGGCATTGCCACCACTTAACATGGCTTCTAAGAGTCTGAAATTCTGAATAAAATAATAATCCATACCTTCGTATAGGTTGAAAGTGAGACCTGTTCAAAATCTCAGCATTCTTTTCAAGAATTTTTGTCACTTGGAACTTTTCCTTACCTGAAAGAATAAAGAAAATATTTTTTAAACTGAATTTTTGCCAACGCACAGTATTATTTTCATTCCCTAGAATTTCCCTTGGTCTGGTCCAGAATAAGAAATAGGCATTCTGTGAGGGACAAACAAAGTGGTTCACTAATTGGGTTTGGATTGAGTGCTGGAGAAGAGGTTTTTGCTCTGAAACTTTATTTTCCTTGCTCAGAGGGGAGAACTATATTCTGACACTCAGAAAACAATCAAGCCATTTACTGGCCTTTCAGTTATAACCACACAGTTACTTCTGGAGACAAATGTTATTTTGTCTTTTCAGGAAGACAAACTGACCTGGTTCCTGTCAACAGACAGCAGGGGGCGTGGAAACCAAGAACTGTTTGTTCACTAAAGATTCCAAACAGAAAAGAACATTAGCTGGACATTTCCAGGGCACTAACTATGCATCTTCTCCATCAATCACCACCTAAAGAATGAGGGTAGGAGGGGGTCTTGAGTGCTGAGAAGCCAATTCAAATGCTCTCCTTGGCATCTCAGTAAGATGCTTTGCAGACCTCCAGGCAGGCAGGGCCACTATCCATCTTCCTTCCTACCACTGTCCTGTTCTATTCATAAAAGGGGCACACAGAGCAGCCCTCCCTATTCCAATGCCCATAGCTCCCCTCAGGCCCCATTCCTTAGTTCCAGGCAATCTGGTAGGCACTAGGAAGGTCCACCAGAACAGTGCCACCCTTAGCAGGTACCAAGGAGTTCTGAAACCCCACCAGTGGAGAGATACTGGGGTTGCTCTTCCTATGACCCTCTTTTGAAATGATAAACACCCACAAAGCATAAACTAATTCTTAATATGCACAATTTAGAGCTGGAGAGGAACTTGGAGATTTTGGAGTCTGATCCCTCTCTTTTACTTTATACAAGAAGAGAATGGAGTCCTGGGGAGAAGTGAGTTGCTCAAGGTTATACATTAAAAGCCAGTGGCAGAATGGGGCTCAGAATCCAGCATGTACTGGACAGGGGCTGTCACCTCACAGTAGCTGTCATAATTAAAAAACTGAGGCTCGGCTTGGTACCTGTAGCACAGTGCCCGCTACAGACACCCAGGCTGGCGGGTTTGAACCTCAGCCTGGGCCTGCTAAACAACAATGACAACAACAAACAAAAAACTAGCCAGGCATGATGGCAGGCACCTGTAATCCCAGCTACTTCTGAGGTTGAGGCAAGAGCATTGCTTAAGCCCTGCAGTTTGAGGTTGCTGTGAGCTGCGACGTAACAGCACTTTACCAAGAGCGACATAGTGAGACTCTGTCTCAGGAAAAAAAAAAAAAAACTGAGGCACAGTGACTTTCCTCAGTAGCTGTAGAAGGAGATATATATCAGAACCCTGAGTGGAAAGGGTGACAGATAAGGGCTGAAAGGGGGAAAATAGAAATCAGATGATTTTATCACGTATTTCAAATTTTTTTATTGAACTGGCCCTGATTTTCTGAGCTATCTGCTCTACAACTTCTCCATCTCACTCAACCCTCCTCCAAATACAAGTAAATTGGCCACATACAGTCAAGGCCTACAGAAAGTGATCACAGGCAGAGGGTTAGCAAGAGAAATGAGTAGCCTGAGACTCTAGGTTTAATATATATTATCCCGAGAATTTAACTGTTCATCTAAAAGCATAGTGTCTTATTTTCTTTTTCTTCTTCTTCTTCTTCTTCTTCTTTTTTTTTTTTTTGACACAGAGTCTCACTCTGTTGCCCTAGGTAAAATGCCCTGGCATCATAGCTCACTGCACCCTCAAACTCCTGGGCCCAAGGGATCCTCTTGCCTTAGCCTTCTGAGTAGCTGGGACTACAGGCACCTGCCACAACACCCAGTTAATTATTTTTAGTTTACTAGAGATGGGGTCTTGCTCTTGCTCAGGCTGGAAATTTGTGATGTACTGATAAGTAGCTGTGTGGCTCAGGCAAATCTCCTAGGTCAGTTGGGCAAGGATAATTGTGCACTTGCCAGGTGCCATCAAGGAGCCTGAAACCTAGTGAGACTACAAGAAGAAACTATTACAATTGTCACAATTACTATTATAACTTTAAAATGCTAAGGGTTGGGCTCGGCACCTGTGGCTCAAGTGGCTAAGGCGCCAGCCACATATACCTAAGGTGGCGGGTTTAAATCCCCAGCCCGGGCCCGCCAAACAACAATGATGGCTGCAACTAAAAAATGGCCAGGCATTGTGGCGGGCGCCTGTGGTCCTAGCTACTTGGGAGGCTGAGGCAGGAGACTCGCTTGAGCCCAGGAGTTGGAGGTTGCTGTGAGCTGTGATGCCACGGGCACTCTAC